AGGCTGCAGACCTGATGGTCCCTTATCTCCCTGCTTGCTTCCTGTGGCATGTTACAGCTGCAGCTTTTTAGCTGAGAGGAGCCAGGCAGCATTTGCAGTGCCTGGTTTGTGGGGTGAGTGGAGCAGGTGTCCTGTTTAGCAGCACCAGCAGACCTTTCATTGCACCTTTACTCACAACTGCAGGGCACTTGACTATGGGGTGACCCTGGAGGACTGCCCCAATGTGAACACAAGTACACATGATAACTGTAAAAGCAGCTGTAAGATGGAACATGGGAATTAACCCAGGCTCTCAGCTGTACAAGCACAGATTTAAAGCACGCACAACCACTGGCAGGCCTCCAGGGCTTGCTTGCAGGCAGGCGGGGATTTGGGATGAGGGATGCGTAAGACAGCAGAGAAGGTGCGAGAGTGAGGGAGCCCCAAATCTGCAGGCTCTGCATGCTGTAGGGGGGATGAGCATCTCTCCCAGCAATCAGGATCTCCTCTGAGCCATTTCCAGTGATCTCAGCACCAAACTCACCTCACATGGCCCCTCTGTGCAGGTACCCTGAAACTGAGTACCCCTGGGAGGCTCCCAGTGCAGGGAGCCCAGGCTGGGGAGGCACAGACACGACACAGCATCAGCTTCTGCTTTGAGTCAGGACTTCTGAGCTCTTCAATGTGTGGAGTCAGTCTGAGATTTAAGGACTGGTGGTCCCATGGAGGGGAATCATAAAATCAGAATGCTTTGGGTTGGAAGGGACCTTTAAGGGTCACCTAGTCCAACCCTCCTGCAATGAGCAGGGACATCTTCAACTCGACCAGGTTGCTCAGAGCCCTGTCAAGCCTGTCTTAAATATTTCCAGGATGGGGCATCTACCACCTCTCTGTTCCACTGTCTCACCACCCTCATTGTGAAAAATTTCTTCCTTCTGTCTAGAATAGGTGCAAACAGCAAGGAGCATTGCATAGCCAGCTGCATGCCATGCACCCCTCCCCACAGGGGTTCCTGTCAGCTTTCAGGATGAGCAGGTTGAACATCTTCAGTTGGAGCTTAAGTGTGAACATTCCAAGTGTGGAAAAGCACACCCACCTCATGGCAATGTGGGTGCTCAGCATCTGGCAGCATCCAACTCCAAGGTCCCAGAATAACCTTTCCTGAGGATAAGGGGCTCTGCTGTTGCTGGAGAAATGTGGAGCTCTGCAAAGCAATGGAGACAAGTGCTGTGCAGCCTCCAGCCCCGGGCAGAGGTGTGCAAGGAGTGTTGCTGTCAGACTCTCCTGATGCCCCACTGCCTTTTTGCACATGGGGTGCAAACCAGCTTATGCACGGAGCACAGGCCCCTCATCTTCCAGGTTTTACCCACGATGAAAGACCACTCTGGATGCCCTTCTAGCAGCTTTCTAGCTTGGAGATCACGTTCCGGACATACTGATGCAAAAGGGAATGAGAAGGGAAAAGGAGGAAGAAAGTGTGAAATCAGCATCAGTCCCTTGGAAGTTTGTTCCAGCAGAAGGGCACAGACAGCAGGGCCTGGTACAGGGAGGGTTAGGGACAACCACAAGAGAGTGGAGTCTGCCACAGGAACAGGAGAAAGGTTAAGAGTGCCTTGAAGAGAAATAGAGCAAAAACCCCATCTCTGCTTAGTGACCTCTCAGAAGACACCTCTGTGTAGTCCCCAGCCATGGGCTGCTGCAGCTCAGGGCAGAGCCGCTCACACAGGCAGCAAAAGGATGCTGCAGGATGCTGCGACTTGTAGGAGGAAGGCTGGCTGTCTTACATGCACCATGTGTCTTGGACGAAGCGGATTTGCTTCCAAGAGACTCCCCCCAGGAGCTGGGGTCCCTACAAAGCCCCAGCTCTGCCCCTCCCCTCTGGGATTCCTCTGGCAGGGGAAACCCCCATGGACACTGCTGATGCCACAGGGCAAAGGCTGTGCATGAGCTGCACCCCAGCCTCTTCCAAAGGGCACCTGCGAGGAGAGGGGGACTATGGTGGGCCAGCAATGCGGCCACCAGCAGGACTTACCTACTGGTGTGTGCAGAGGAGAGCCAAAGCATGGCTCTGCCTCGGGAGCTCCAGGTCCAAACTCCCAAACTGGGCTGTATGCAGCACAGCAGGGTGGTCCAGCTGGCTCAGAGGAGGCACACAGAGCTGCCTGCCATCGAGCCAGGGGCTATCCATGCATACAACAACTCCAAAAAGAGCAAAAGGCAGGCATGTGCCACCTCTGTTACAGCTCAGGGGATGCATCCATGCTGCCCTGCTACCACGACAGCTACGGTCACCTCCGTGGCTGCAGCGGTGCCTGCTGGCTGCAGGGCTGGCTCAGTGAGGAATGAGCTCCAAGTGCTGCTCCTAGCCGCTGAACCCCGATCCTCTCCAGACAGCTCCCACCAGCGCCCACGCTTCCAGAGAGCTGGCTGTGCGCCGCTTCCCCCTCTCCTGCCTCCTCTTTGCAACGGCGCCTTTGCCGCCGGCTGGGCGGCAGGAAAACACCTTTCTACAACTCTCACACCCTCCACAACAGACCTTAAATCAATAACCTCAGAACACAGGGCCAGGTTATTGCTAACGGAAACCATTAAACTGTAACATGGGGGGATAAAGCCAGCCTCTAACACTTGAAAGATTTATAGGGCACAACAGCAGGGTGTTAATTCTTTTGGCAACACAAACGCTTTCACACCCCCTGCCTTTCCTTACCCACAGGAGCGAGGGGAGGGGGAACCATGTGCAGCCCACCCCCGGGAACACAAGGACACAGCCTTGTTCACACTGTGGCCAGTAGCACATGCATTTAGGGCGACACCATGCTCATAGGCCTGCCCAAATGCACACACCTCAGGTCCACGGGGTAGCACATCCCCAGGGGTCCCAGGCGTTGTTCTGCCAGGGGACGTCTCCCATGCCCAGCTCCGACTTTCCTGTGACTCTCCTAGCTCCCGTCTGCCTCCACAGCTGCAGCAGATGTTCAAGGAAAGGCTGTGAAGAAACTTTCAGACTTGGAGAAACCAGCCCAGCTCTTGGGCACACAAGCCCTTCCTCAGACGTGAATCAGCCTACAGCTTGCGGGTGTTTTCGCAGCTGGTTGAACAGGCGCTCTCCCTACAACACTCTTGCTTGGATCCACATGCCCTCAGCACTGCTGTGGCAGCTCTAGAGACCAGGGAGATGCTTGTCAGCATCACCATCGGCCCAGCTGCCCTGGGCAGGAGAGGGGCTGCATGTATGCTGCAACAAAAGGAGTTTGCACAGTCTCCCAAAAAGGGATGCTCACATCCTCCCCTCCTCCTTAAGTCCCAGCCAAGCCCTGGCTTTCACCCTCTCCTGCCAAGCTGACATCCCTGGGAAGAGCTGCATTACTGATTAACAGCCCCCTGCCCACCTCCCCCCGCATCCCGCTCACAGCTTTGCTTGCAGCCACCTCCTTGGACCCTCCCTTGTGCAAAGTCCAGGGCTAGGCAGGAGAGGACAGGGTGGGAGCTTGACAGGGGGGGAGCTTTCCCCCGGGGCTCACCCCACCGGCAGCCTCACCGCACCCCACATACCTGGGGTACTGTGGAGGCCTCCCTGGGCCGAGCTACCGAGCAGCACAAGTCACACAGCGTGCAGGCAGGAGCAGAAGCATCCCTCTCCAGCCAGGGGAGCGGAGAGGGCACAAGTGGGCTCCAGCCACTGTGCTAATCCCGGACCATAAGATTGCTGCAGCACACCCGAGGCACACCCCCAAAGGGCCTCAGAGGCCTGGGCACGATCCAAGCGGCAGCATCAGCATCAGTTAGGCTGAACCCCTCACCCTGTATCAAACCCACTGGACACCCCACCCTGGGTTTATTGCTGTTATTCCCCGCCCTGCTCTCCTACTAGAGGAGTGGGCGCTGCCTCCATCAAGCAAGGGGTCTGAGGGAGACTTTGACCAGCCCCCTCCCACCCCAAGCACTGTGAGAAGCCCTGGGCAGGGTCCATCCTCTGCTCATCCCTTCCCTCCATGCTCCCCCAGCTCTGCAGAGCCCAGCTGTGTGGCTGCAGGCTCCCCCATGCCAGGGTGTGCTGAGAGGGGGCCCTATCTGGCACCACTGCACCCTGCCCAAACCTGTCACAGTCCTGAAGCCGGGATGCTCGATGCCATCTCGGGGTTCCCAGCCAGCACTGCCAGCTCAGCCCCACTCTGGTGCTGGAGATCCCCAGGCTTGTCCCAGCCCAAGAGCAGCCCAAGGCACAGCTTTTCTCTGGCCGCCAGCACAAGAGCGGGCTGCAGGGCCCCAGCACTGCTGGCTCAGAGCAAGGTGCAGGGAAGATGCTCGGCAGCAGGCCAAGCATGCTCCCCTTAGGGGCTGCCTGGGATCGCCCTTCTCTTCCGTGAGCTGCAGCACACGGGGCAGGGGGCCCGGACAGGCACCCTGCATCCCTTCCCTGTCCATCCCTCCTCTGCCAAGAACCGTCCTGCTGTGCTCTGCCCGCTGCAGACACCTGTAACTTCTCTGCAGTCACACCAACACCTCTCCCTCAGTGGACACCTAGAGATGAGATGTCAGACATCCCTCTGACATCCCATAGCTCTGGAGAGCTAGAGCAAAACCAACAAGCGGGCTCGAAGGGGACAGGC